ACTCGTACAATTTGAATTTACCAAGAGCAGTAATTGGCCTATGTTTAATAAGCTGTGTTTTTTGTTTGTTTTTAGTAGACGAAATTAACAATTTAATTTTGATGCCTCTATGATCTGATAGGTGTAAATTCCATGGACTAATTTGAAAAAGTGCGTGATCTAGATTTGTAAAAACGTTATCCAGACAGTTGTTGTTTCTAGTTGGAAATTCGACAAAGTGAAAAAGCCCATAAGTTCTCATAAAATCTAATAAGCAGTCTTTTAAGAGGTCTTCTTTGTCAAATTTTACATTAAAGTCACTAGTCAATATTATGTTGTTCTTTAATGTGTTAATTATACCAAAAACTTTTTCTAAAGTACTCAAAAATTTGTTCAGATCTCCAGAGGGTGATCTATAGACATTTATCACATAAATTTCTAGGTTATTCATATAAATTCCAGATATCTCACCATGTTTCTCAATTGAGAGTTGTTCGAAATTTTGGAGACGAGTGCAAGAAACCTCAGCGTTCTTTATAATCATTGTGCCCCCATGTTTCGTTGAGTTTCTGGAAAAATAAGACTCAGTTACAAAATTATTGACACGTATTTGGTCAGCTTCTACTGCCATCAAATAATGTTCACAAAGGGTAAGGAGGGAGAAGTCATCGTCTGCTACGGCTGCCTCAAATTCCGCTAGTTTAGCCCTCAGTGATTGGATGTTGATTGACAGAATGTTCAAATAGCCTTCTACCTCTAAGGCAACGCGGTTTTTTTTAGTATCCGATGAAAAAAACGATTGACACAGCTGCCAGGAGGCCAGGTTTCAGGTTTCATAGCTACGTCTTGGTCTTTATGATCAATGGTCACTTTGAAGCTTGAATACAGGTCCGGATGTCTTGACTGCAGCTTTTCAACTCCGAAAGTGACATGCAGAGTTGATCTTCGATATCCTTTGTAGTCGTTGAAGGATTTAGTCGATACATGTGGATGAAGCTTCTTCGTGGGACTGCTTTGAGGGTACTATTGTCCACCGAGCATCCAATTATCGGTTTGTTGGATTCTCTGCGATGTCTTTTTTTGCTTTTGACTTTATTCCAGTTATCATCTTCATTCTGCAGTGTCTTATTATTGTCCAGGTTTTCGTTATCGTCCTGAACTGGCTCCTGGAGTTCGCTATAACCACGAAGTGTCTTCTTTACTTTCTTATCTTTATCTCCTTGATTTGGTGTTTTGGCTTGATTAGATGGCGAGTCTTGCGTTTTTTTCTGTTGTTTATCGTTGGTGTTTTTGGGCGGGAGCAGCTTACTGTTTTTGACAATTTCATTAATTTCTTGTGATGTCGTTTCTGGATTATGATTATTGGAAATTCCTTCCTCCTGCTTAATTATGATGTTATTTAGCAAGGTTATTTGCTTGTGGAGTATGTCCAAGTTGGCACATAAACTTTTTATGTGCAAGTCTTTCTCCTTCAGCAGTTTTTTTAGATACTTATTTTCCACCTTTGCGGTGTCAGAATTCTCAATTGCAGAACTAAAGGATTCATCATCCAATTCGTTGTCGGGGTCATTAATTGAAGCAGCAACTTCTTCTTAGGCGATGCTGTTGGTCGTTTTCTTCTCTGGCAATGTCGTCGGAGTCACCTTGGAACCACAGCACATAACCTCACCAGGAGCAATTTCCACAACATCTTTAAGATATTTAATGCACCCTGGATGAAAAACTGCATTGCACTGTACACATTTTGGGCCTTGCGTTGGAATATTGCCACACATTTTGCACATTTTTGTAGCGTTCGAGTTACTTTTGAGCTGCCCCGTCACGGTCGCCATCTTGAAAAAATAAGTTTTTCACAATGTTTACAAAAATTTTGCCACATGCTTGGAGTACATTTAGAAAGCGCCTCAAAGCATAAATTTCCACCCTATTTTTTAATGAAGGTTGAGAATTTATATGCTTGTTGTAATAGTTCTTACAAAATCCCCATGCCATTTCAATTGGATTACCTATATTGACAATGGTACGAAGGTAATCTAAGAACTTCATGGCCACTTTCTCTTAATGTCTCGTCTACCAAATATCTTTTTTTCTATTGTTTCTGAAGGGTTTAATTAAATCCCACAACTGTTTCTTCGAAAATTTTTTGTCAAAAGCAACACTATGTTTAAAGAGCCATTCCTGCATTTCACATTTTTTACTAGAAAAAGTGGGTGGTTTATCCAACTGAACCGAATGATACGGTGCATTGTCTAAAACCACCACACATTTTTGGTTCAACTTTGCCAAAGCAGGAATGAGCTGATTAACCACCCAATTTTGAAAAATTGTCCCGTCCATCGTTTTATGATAGTCTCTATCGTTATTTTTTGAATTTAAAAAATTGTTGCAACCATCCAAGAACCCCGTTGAACAACCCGCGTGGAGAATAATAAACCTTGATCCTTCACTTTTAATTTTAGTGGGATTGCTTTTTAGATCAGTATCGTGCACCCAGCGACGAATGGACGAACCATTCTGATAGATCCATGTTTCATCCAAATACACGAAAGTCAAATTTTCACAAGAATTTAGAAACTGTAAACTGTTCTCAAAAAAGTAATTTTGGCTTCAACGACATGTTTTTGTTCACATAGAATTTTGCGACCATTTACTTCCCTGTGTTTATAACCCATTGACTTAAGAATTTTGTATAATGTGGTTCGCCCCCCTTTAAATTCCAACTGTTCCCTAGAATATGCCAAAAGAGTATCTACAGTGAAATATTCGTTTTTTTTTATTAAGTTGCCAAATTTGTCGTTGCAGGTATTTCCGAAACATATAATTTGTAAATAAATTGGTTGGTTTTCGCTTGCCAGATAGTGGTGTTTTTAAATTTTGGTCCCCTGTGGATAAAATTTTCGCCACAGTTGATTTTCCCACCTATGAGAAAAAAAAAATAAATATTTTGCAGCGTATTTTTACATTACAGAAAATATGTTCGAGACCCTCATAGTTACTTCTTCGAAAGAAAGATCTTTTCGAAACTGCAAAAAACATCTTTTTAGTGCAATTTTTTGTTGCAGTAAAACTATTTTAGGCATTTTCTTTTTAAATAATGTCGCAATTATCTGTGAATCTGTCACAATGACAAATTATTTATGCTGACAAAATTAAAACATTTGTTTGCTTGGTTTAAAATTGCGTCTAATAATTCTGATCTAATAAATGAAAAGTGGCAATCCAGCACAAAGTAAATGTCAATCAGACTACTGAGAGACAAAAAACTAAATCATCAAATCAGTTTATCCAACTTAAAGAAAAAATATCAAAGCCTAGTTTACTATATAAAATTCGTCAATGAATAGGGTAAATGTGTACAAGAGTGCGAATATGTATAAGAGTACGCACTGCTGATTTCTGTTTATTAGTGCCATCTGGATAAGATGAAGTTATACCATTCAGAATTTAATGCTAAACCTGAGATAAAGGTGCAAAAGTGACCTGAATATAGTTTATAGTTTGGTCGTACTGACGAATTTATGTTCACACGTTGTGTGGATGTAATTTTTACCGCTCATAGTTTTAGTTTTTGTAAGGTACGTACCAGTTCTTTTATTTTACAGTAATAATTTTCATTAGTTGTAACTTTTAAGGTCTCGTTATACACTAACAGTTTTATACTTTCTATCCATCAAAAGCGTTTAACTTTGAAAACATTAGGTTATGTACAAATGTACAAGAGTGCGCAGCGAGGTATTGTATAAGAGTGCGCATTGCTTGCAATACATAGTCTAATAGTCTTGGAGATACATATCATACGATAATGAATTATTTAACTCTACTACTTTGTAATGCTTTTCAAGTTGTGTGGTGGTGGTTATGGTGATTTTTTTTTATTTTTACTTCCTGAGCGTGTTGTAATCGAGTCCGTCGACCGACTCTCTATTTTTACGTTTTCTCGACTTTTCAAGACCCCTAGAGTACGAAGAAATAGGTCTCCCGTTTTATGTGTAGTCTGTAGTCACTTATTTCCATTTATTTTCATCTTAGAAACAAATATTTTTTCATAAAAAGTAATGCGTACTCATAAGCGTTCAAATGCGCACTCTTGTGCAATGAACTGTCTAAGAGTGCGCATTTACACATCTTGACAAAAACTGAAATTACTCTTAAAATATAGTGGTGTTGGGACGTACAATTAAATATATCTGATCTCTAAACATGTATATAACGAACCCATATCATAAAATTTGTCTATCCAAAAAAATTAAAAAGTTGTTGACAGTTTTACACTAAGTGCGTACTCTTGTACACATTTACCCTAATATGTCAAGATATTCAACACACTGGTGTAGTAGATTTAGACAACATTGAAGGCATACATCTTCGAAAAAGACATCGGTACAAGAATAAATTGAAGATGGACTTACAGAAACGTTTTTGGAATGAATATCTGATCAACTGATTTTGAGTCAATATAAAAGAGAATTTTCCCGACCAGTTAAAGTTGGAGATTTTGTCTTCATAGAACACGACCAGGAGAAAAATAAATTGGTCATTAGCACGAGTAGAAGAAACAATTTCTGGCAAAAACGGAAATATTAAAGTTGTTAAACTAAGAACGTCTTCAGGTCACTTAGTACATCGTATTCAAAAGTTATATCTATTAGAAATAGAAAATAAAGACGAAACATTGTTTCATAATGGCCGAATTTTACTCAAACAGTCTCAAAAAAACTAGACGAAGTCCTTAGTAAAAATGAGGGTTTTACTAGATTAAGTAATGTGGCTAAGGTTTTAGATGGACAGTTTTCAGATGAGACCCTCAAATTGTGTCGTCCCTTAAATATGCCCCAATAACATCTGTCGATGTAGAGCGTAGTTTTTCAATGTATAAAGTAATTTTCTTGCATATTTTAGCAATTTTTTGCATATAATTCCGAGGTTTAGTCATAAGATCATCGTTGTATAATATATTTCTATTATTTTTTACTAGCTCTAAAAATCAAAAAAACAATTTATTCTTAAATTTAGGTACTTACAGCAAGGGGTGAACGGTCCTCGGTCCCTGCAGGGCCCTTCCATCGTGGGCGGGCAGTCCTGCCACCAGCAGAACATCTCTCCATCCAGACACAGGCAGAACTCGCACGGGTCCTTCCTGTATATCTGAAAAGCGAAGTCCCGATAAGCCCGTCATAAAATTTTCAATTTTACACAAACCCGTTCACTTTCAGCGAAACTCATATGCACGATATTTGCCGCAAGTTTTTGTCGAATTTCTCAGAATTTGTTGACTTTATCCCGTTCCTCGACTGAAGGATCACTTTTATACACAACGCTGCTCATAATCCTGATTACACAAGATCTGTGTTGATTTATTTTATTTTATTTCATGACGCCGCATAAAGTGGAAGTTTGTTTATTTTCGCTCTTTGGGGTTACATTAGCTTTCTAATGAAACGATCTGCATAATGGAGTTTTTTCTTTGTTTGAAAATTGGAATAAACGGAACGGCGTTTGACGGTGGCTGCGATGATAAAGTAGTTGTGCATTTATTTCAATAGCTGTGTTATCTTTAATTTACATCTTTTTCTTTCTTGTTCCTGCGTTTGCTGGAAGCTGGCGACCTTTGAGACTTTTAGGGGCTTTGTGCTTTTATCGGGGATAATTATTGCTTTCGTTTATGGGGGAATCGGTTTGATAAAGACCCGGTTGTGTGTACGGCTTATTTGAACAGACGGCACTAGACGACTGGCTACTTTTATGTTTTCTCGACGTTTCATGACCACTAGAGTACGAAAAAATAGGTCTTCCGTGCCAAATTATTTCATAACGTGTGGTTTAATTAGTGCCAGAGTAATGGAAACAGATTTTAGTAATTTCTAAAATCATAATTTCCTCTAATAATAAAGTTGTAAACGTGCTTTTTACCTTCGTATATTCCCTAGACACGGGCTTCACATTACCAAGTATTAACTTCTCCGTAAAGCGATACCGAAAGTTGATAGCTCTTAAACATTTTTATTTAAGAAACGAGAAACTCTCCCCTACCTCTCCCACACCCCCAATTATCCCTCAGCCGCCTCCATGCTAAACACGAACCGCTTACAAAAGAAGAAAAAATAATTTCGCATTTCGCCCCACAATTCAGCCGTCACCTAAAGACCGGAAAATAAGACGCAGATTGATAAATTTTATTGATACGGCTCCTTATAAAAACTCCCCGGAATTTATGACATTCCGGAATAAGAGCGCACAAGAAAAGCCATTTAATTACCCCAATAAATTAAACAAAACCGGAACGTTTGAAAATACAATTATCCTCGAATTCATCACATTAATAATAAACTTTTTTGCAGGGCCGAAACTGTCGTAATTTCGTTAATTAAAACGTTCCCGAAATACCCGACGAAATAGAGAGAAGGAAAAAAGCACGTTCGAACTCGCATTAAACACGTCAAGATCGCGTTCCGGTATGAATTTTTCCCCGGATCGCATAAACTACACACTGGATTCAATTTAAACTTATCGGGTAGATTAAAATTAATGCCGGCCGCTCGTAAATCCCCGATCGACGATAAAATACAGGTTTCCACTTTGACGAACCGCCTCTGATTACCCACCGCTTCCATAAAATACCGGTTGAGAGGAATATTTATAACTGGGGCCGGCACTGCTTACGAATTAATCTTGGAGCTGCAGGGTGGCAAGGGAAGAGGGGGCGGTCAAAAACGCAGGACACTAGTAGATACACAGATGAAATTTTTTTTAATAAATTATTGTTTTCTGTAAAACTGGAACACACCGTTATGGATGTCACATGCTTGTTACACGAGAACAGCACGCAGAGTAAGTTCGTTTTGGTCGTTCTTGAATTTAAACATGCTTCGATGACTGAAGTGGAAAGTAAAACTAGGAGCGAACCCCTGCTGTTGATGGAAAACACAACGGTAAAATTCGACCCAGCGTTTTGAACGTCTAGCTTTTGGGCGGTTTCTAACCAACTAGATATTATGTGATCAATAACAACAAAAATAAAAAATTATTCACTGCTCTACATATCTGGATTTGCATTCGAAATGACAGTTGGTTATTTGATTGTTTGGATTACGGAAATTAAATCGACTGGACTCGATTTGATTAGACCGCTCGCTCTCGACGGTGTGCCTCTTTAAACAACCACGCGTTGCTTCTGGATAGTTCGTCATCTCTGCCTCGATGTTATTCTGGAGCACCGAGACTTGCGGAGAACTGCTTCTAGGCTTTTCTTGATGAGTCACCAGTCATCGCGGTAACGTACCTACTGGAAATCCCATAGGCGTCTTATCGAGGGGATAATGGGTTACTTTGTAACATTATTCTATGATAAGGATGTAAAGTTTATAAAAAAGTTGTTAAGATGGTAGCAACATTTACTAAAATGGTTTACAAATGTGAGTGGTGCTACAATAAAAATCAGTGAATATTTAATTCACAATTTTTGACTTGAAATTTTCTTAGTTAGGAACATTCGATATCTTCCAAAAATTGTCGGTAGTCCTTTGCCTGTTGGGTAGACAGTAATAAGAACTGTTGGCAAAATGATGTAGTTTACCTTATTAGGAGAAAGTTGACCAGTAATTTTAATCCAACTGACTGTTCTTTCGTTAAAAGTGAGAAGCTTGTTTTCGTTAATTGCACATGCAACTATTTCCGACTTCGAAATATTTTTTTCCAAGGTTTCTATCACAGATATGTAACTGTAAAATCGTAGCTTAACCTTTATTTGTGAAATCATATATGGCTGATCTAGAACGAAAGTCTTTTCATTTTTTTCTTTTACGAATAATAACGGACTCACTTAAACAGATTTCCAAAATGAAGGAACTAGGTGAAATGTCCCTATGTTGATAAACAAAAAAAGAATTGAAAACTGTTTTTGTCTTTAATATTGAGATAAATTTGACTTATCTCATTCAAATTAGTGAAATTTTGTTAAGATTCATTTCTCTTCACCTATAATTGTATAAAATAGGATGAGAGTCGAGATTATCTTCTAAACTTTTTATTTTTATAGACTGGCTACATATGTCTCGGCACTTTAATTAATTAGTACCATCATCAGACCTACAAGAAAATAGTTTTGTTGGTACAATAGTTTCGTTATTATGATTTAGGTCTCAGCAAGTTGTGTGCTGCATGGGTGTAGGTGTGTCAAAGACATTGAGTTTTTAGGTTACATAGTTTGTGTAGTTGTGTGGGTGACAGTTGTGGGTGCCAGAGTAGGAAATCAAAATCATTCTATCTTTTTAAGTTCTTTAATTAGTTAAAGTGCCGAAACATATGTAGCCAGTTATCAAAAATAAAAAGTTCAAAAGACACTCTCACTATCATCTGTCATCATATTTCAAATACTCACAAGTAAAAATATTTTTCGTTTATTTAAATCAATTTAAAAAAAACTTGAAGGTGCAGATCAAATCCTAGGTGTTTTATGTGGGCTAACGCATTGTTATCGCACTCGTGTGTCCAAGGAATTCGGCTCATATATATTTTACATCATTGTGAACAAACTTCACATTTGTGGATAGTAATGCTCTAATTCCACTTATAATGTACACAATCATGGCATAGTTTCAGCATGTAACTGTTTTTATTTGCTCTAACTGTATGTTCATATTCCGAGATATTTTTTTAACTTTGAACATATGAAAGTAAATACGGGCTTAATTTCTATGTTCCCTTTTAAAAAACACACATGAATGCATTGTAAGTACGAAATTCCAAAGTAGTTATAATGATATTAATGTAGACATTGGAATTTCTTACGTATAGCATAAGATATTAAACTTCTTTTCTTCATTTAAAACATCATTTGTTTAATTTTTTAGTGGTGTTTATATTCGACGCATCGAGTATTGTTTACATTTTTGTAAAATATTTTACGACAATAATTCAAACAAGTTGACATTTAATTTTTTTCACGAAGGAGGTTGAATGTTCTAAAAATAGGGATTAAGCTCATACTTACTTTAATATTTTCAGAGTTAAAAAAATGTTTTGCTATATTTTGCTTCTTAAAATTGTGTCATGTATGCATGTCAAACTGACAAAAGGAGTGGTAAAATTAACTAGCCCACATGGGTTTTACCGAAAATTGATTGAAGTGAAAAGGGGAAAATGTAAACATACTAATGGATAAAATATCTTACATGATCCATATCCTGGTTTGCGAAGTTATAATGTTGGAAGAAGGATAAACAATTTGGTTACGCATTTTAGGTACTGTACTGCTCATGAAAACTTGAAACATACAAATTCTGGCTGAATGACCCTACAAAGAAACATAACACTTTTAATGTAGTGAGCTGATTTTAGGATAACAGTTAATTAAAATTTGTAGCTTGACAAGGTGAAGTAGTTAATTTTTCTAACATTTCTATCTCTAGTAGGTATTTTACTACTATTGTTTCAAAATATGAATTTTCGAGTAACACATAAAATTCATGCCATTTTGACGCATTAAAATATATATTTATAAATATAACGAAAAAGTCGAATATAGCCCCATAACACAAATCAAAGCTTCACTTTTTGAAAACTTATTAATGATCTTTTGAACCAATGATTACATTTGAACGAAAGTTTGGACTAGATTTAGACGCTTTCGCATTTTACAACGATGTCAACCTATATTTGTTACCAAAAAAATCGCTTGTGAACACAACAAACGCGTTTTATTTAAATTAACTGTTCGACGTAAATGCCACTTGCTTCCCGTATAATACGTTACGAACTTGGAGATCCTTAAAAATTTTTCAATTTTTTGCTTTTTTTTCTTTTCATTTACTAAAGCAAAAGCTTCCTCTTACTATCTAATAGCAACGACGCATCTCTCTAATTAAAGTAAAAATGTTTGCATTTACAAGTAACTGTATTTCACCGTACTTAGTCTAGTAAAGTTGTTAATATTTACCATGTCCATTACTACTCGAATGTATCTAGTCTTTTGTTGTTCAAAATACAAGTTTTGCCTAGAATAACAACTGTATGTGGTGTAATCTATAACTTTTTTCCATTTTTGTAAATCTGTTGACACCTCAATGTAATAACCGGTACGGTAACTGCAGATATTGACAAATCATTTTAAAAAAACCATTACTAACTTAGAGAAAACCTACTTTACTATACACATCGTTATGTAATTGAAGCATTTTACTTGACCAAGATCCACAGTGATACCGTTTTTATCATTCCTATTGTGATAAGCGCCATCATTCGAATTTCTAGATTCTTCAAACAACATAGTAGTATTTAATCCAGAAACTACTTTAACATTATATTCTGCTCTAGCAAGATTTTTATCTTTTACTGAAAAATTATACAAGTCTACTTTTCTGACTTGGCAGTTAAGCAGTCTTCGTACTTACACTGTCCACCAAAGCGTAGTGTTTTTTGTGTACCGTTATTTTCAATCGTTGTAAGAACATTCAGCAGTTTTGCGTCATCTACAATTTTGGATGGCCGAACAACATTTAAGATTTCGTTTCGCGTTAAGCAAGGAAATCGAACGCACCCGATGACCAAGTTGTCTACGTCTTTGTTAATTTTGCACCAGTTTGCCGCTATATTAAAAACTTCGATTTCATCAAATAGAAACGCATCTCTTTTCAACAGGTTAACCATAGATTTCTGAAACATGGTATTATATGTATATGTGTAGCTAGTGTAGAGATGTTACTTGTGTGAGAACATTTAAAAAACCATATTCAAACGTTTGCGAAACATGTTCATCGACAAGAGTATGACACGTTTCTCTTAACTCGTCCATGTCATGTGTGTTGGCTATATTTAGAAGGAAACAAACATTCGTTAAATCTACAATCGAAACCATTTTTTCGTTTATAATTTGTACCAGTGTTTTTAACGAATATTCGTGTGCTAGCTTCAATATATCGGACACATATTTCTCATCTAGTGATGCGATGACAACGGTCCCTGCCACAAATTGAACACGATAATGTATTCATAATATTTAGTCAAAAGTTTGGCTAACTACCTGTATAAATGTAATACAGTATTGTTTCAAAAGCATTTGAGGGCGCGTTTATTACTTCAATCTGGGCCTGAAAACAGTTTATGTATTTTAATTTTTCCGTAACATTGTCTTACTTGTTTTGGATCTTGCATTAAAAGGGACTCAAAATATTTGCATCTAGCAGCGAGAACAATCTGAAAATTACGACTTTGTTCAGAGTTGATCTTTTTGGAAACGGATGAAAAACCTACTTTGTGCGCATGAATGGTCTTATCGGATAGGATTATCTGAATGTCGGAAAATGTTTCCTTCAAGTAATAAGGTGCCATATCTTCGTAAATTTTCGAAGAATTCGTAATGATTAGTTTTTGTTGCGGTTCTTCTTCGTTTGCCATTTTGGTTGGTGGAAATCTAAAAATGTTAGCTAAAAATGTTTTAGTAGTGCACGAACAAAGTTTCTGTCACAGTTGAAACTTGATTACTGATTAGATATAGACGTTGTTGTTACTCCCTTGAAATACCTACGCTTATCTATCTATAGATTTGTATCTTACTGATAAAGAAATGGAGTTTTTATCGCCTAGAACAAGTGAAGTTTATTTGTCAACAATTTTAAAATCAGACTTATTAGTTCACTGCACCTCTGAACCTTAATCCATATTCACTGTTTTGTTTATTATTTGTTAAAATTTTTAATTTATTGTAGCAACAATAAGAGTAGTTGAAGTCGAATTACCATTTATGTGTCATATTTAAATGCGTTCAGAATTTTTACTAAATTTTGTAATTGAAATATCACCACCATTATTTCGATATTCAAAAATAATTTCAAAATCGGTTCAAACCATCCCGTTGCCTTTATTTCATATACCAAGTTTTAGACACAAACACATCTTTTAAAGATTCCTCAAAAACACTCTTACAAGTTTTAGCTTGAAAAATATTAGATCCCATTTATTTTACAATTTTTTGTGTTGTCATCTGTTTGTTGTAAGTAATGGTAAAAATATTGTTACCTAGTTTTCTGTAATCACACAATGTTAGTAGTGTCTTAACAATAATTTTTAATAGATTCTGTTTGTTTGTTAAATTGTAACATATATTTTTTTTGTAATAATCTCTGTGTTTTAGAATAAAACTAACAGTGGATTATTAAACTATGGGTAGCATCTTTTCCCAAAACTAAAATCAAATTATTAAGGCAAATCCAGTTTCTTAGGTAATAATTATAAATTTTAAGATGACTCGCGAATGTCAAAAGAAAACCAGAGCTAAAGTTATTTAGACAGAACCTTGTTTGCCGTGAATCAATTGCCTTTGTGAGGGAATGGTAAACTACATTGTAAATTTAAAATTTTGGCGAAGTTTTTGATCAGGTATTTTTAGAAACCATTATCTCGATTTTTTATGAAAATTTCGGAACACGGTTATCTTGAGTGTTTTCAGTTTGAAAATCGTTTTTGTCTACCATATTAGGATAAAGCTAATTTATTCTATTCAAATGGATAAGAAAAATGAGTCTATTATAATAATTTTTAAATAGAAGTAAAATTATTTTTCAGTTATTCAAATTAATTTAAAATACATCAAGTTGAAGATCAAATTTTGTATGTTTACATGGATAAACACATTATTATCGCACTCGTCTGATCACAGTATGTTTATATGTATTTTGTATCTTAAAATTGTGTCGCATATGTCAAACTGATGTAAGGTTTGGTGAAACTCAATTCGCTAGTCCATATGAGTTTACAAAACATTAAGTGACATGAAAAAGAAAATAATGAATGAAAATTTAGATAGAATAAATATGAACATAAACCAAGAAAAAATAAAGACGAAATTTTGTTAAAAAGAAATATTATTACTATTGTTCCATTTTTGCTTTGAATAGACGGCAAAAGTGAACACTCACATTCGATATGACAGTCGTTTAGTGATTATTTTATTGTTACGATTACGGAAATTAAATCGGCGTAGGTAAAATTCAAGAATTTAATTTTCGATAATACGCAACTACACAATTAACTACAGGTTAATTGACAAGGAGTAATTCCCACTCAACGTGACTTGTACTCATCACGACTGGACCTGATTTGCCTAGACTACAGCTACGTGATCCCTCTGGAGAGTTCGTGATCGCTGCTTCGATGTTGTTCTGGGGCACAGAGAAGTCGCGGCAATGTAGCGACTAGAAAACCCAGAGGCGTCTTATCGGGCCGGACAATGGATTACTTTATAACACTGTTCTATAATAAGAATGTATACTTGTATGGTTTATAAAAAAGATAATAAGGTGGTAACAAGATTTGCGAGAACGGTTTACAAATGTGAGTGGTATTACAATAAAAATCAGTGAATATTTAACGCACAATTTTGGACTTGAAATCTTCGTAATTAGAAACATTCAATATCTTCCAAAAATTGTTGGATGTCGTCCTTTGTCTGTTGCGTAGACAGTAATAAGAACTGTTAGCAAAATGATTAGTAGTTTACCTTATTAGGAGAAAGTTCACCAGTAATTTGAATATAATTGATTGTTCTTTCTTTAAAAGTGAGAAGTTTGTCTTCGTTTATTGAATGTGCAACTATTTCCATGTTCGAAAACTGTCCTTCCAAGGTTTCGATTACAGATATGTAACTGTAAAATCGTAGTTTAACTTTTATTTGTGAAATGATGTACGGCTGATCTAAAACGTAAGCCTTTTCATTTTTTTCTTTCAAGAATGATATCGGACTTACTTAAACAGAGGTGCAAAATGCAGGATGTAGGTGAACTGTCCCTACGTCTATAAATAAAGAAAGAGTTGAAGACTGTTTTTGTCTACAATATTGGGATAAATTTGATTATTCCATTCAAATGAGTGAAATTGTGTTAAGATTCATTTTTCTTCACGTATAATAAGGAATGTTCATTTTATAAAGCGGACACTAAAAAATTGCTACTAATTCGAGTACTTTGGGATAATTTAATTTTTTTTGTTATAAAAATGTTTAACAATGTTAAATGAAATAATTATTCTTATTCTCTAATCAATTATATTCAGAAACTATAAAATTTTCTAACTATTGCGCGAATACAGCGAATCACTGTTTGCACAGGTTTGTTTGTGATTTCTTCGTAGCAGGAGGCCACATTGTTTTAAATTCTCCAAGTCATGATGTTGTTCGGCCATCTTTTCTTAACACTGCTTTCATATTTGCCCATTATCGCTCAAGTGGACGAAGCTCAGGACAGTTGGGTGGTTTATCTTCTTTTTTTAAAAACTGTACATTATTGGCATTAAGAAGCTCCTGACTGGCACCAGCGTAGTGAACCGAAGCCAAATCTGGCCAAAACAATGGAGGGTTATGATGTTTGCAATAAACAGGCGATAATCGCGTTTTTATACATTCTTTCCTGTAATCATCGCGCCCAATTGTTCCAATCGTAAAAAAAAAATTAAAACTTTTTAGCCCACAAGAACAAATCGGTTGCCACTCTAAGACTTTTTTCCCAAACTTTTCAATTTTTTTTGTTTTCATGTCATCGAGGACATCTTCCCCTACAACTGCATTATAAAACTTGGAGCCGGGTAGTGTACTGCAGTCCATTTTAACCTTCGTTTCGTTGTCCATCAAAACACAACGATTTTTGTTCCTGACTAAAATTGTTTATAACTTCCTGCTTTTTTTTTTAAACTGTATGCGCTGCTTTTCGCTTCTTTTTGGGATTTTTTGCTTTAATACGTTCTAATGTTATTCCGAGTCTTTATATTTTGTACAGTACCTACGGTAACACCTTGCTTCTTCGGTATTTCTCGCACAGACATACATTTCGTTAATTTTAGCAGTTTAATGATATTTTCCTCAATATTTTCGTTAAGCGGGCCTTTTCTCGGTCTGGATTTGAGCAAATCTTCTAAAGTATTAAACTCCCCAAACTTTTTGATTATTTGGAACACTGCTGATTTTGAACATTTAGTTATTTTAGGCAGTCCCCCCAACGGAAATTTTTCGTAGCATCACTTTTGCAAAGATAATTTTCTTGCCCCAAAGGCGATTCGCTTCATTTTAAAAAGAAATAACGTTATTTTGAAAACAAAAATGGCATTTAATAGATACAACTTAAAGCTTTCATGTATAAAAACTAGAATAATTTAGATTAAAAATTAGAAAAGTGACGTTACTTTAAAGGTGTCCGTTTAATAAAATGAACACTCCTTATAAAATGTGATGAGAGTGGAGACTGTTTCCTGAAATTTTATTTTTATTTACGGGTTACAAATGTCTCGGCCTACAAGAAAATATTTTTTTGGTACAATAGTTTTGTTACTATGATTTACGTCTCAGCAATTTGTGTGCTATATGAGTATAGGTAGGTTTAAGGTGTCGAGTTTTTAGGCTGTGTAGTATATGCAACTGTGTGACAATTGTGGGTGCCAGAGGAAGAAATCAAAATCATTCTACTTTCTTCCTTCTTATGTAATTAATTAAAGTGCCGACACTCTCCACTTTCATCAGTCATCATATTTCAAATGAGTGAAATAAGCTAGATAATCGTAATGATTTTCCAACACCAGTAAAAATATTTTTCGTTTATTTAAAATAATTTAAAAGTTGTAGATCAAATTATAGAAGTTTTACGTGGGTTTACGCCTTATTATTGCACTCGTGTGATCACAGAATATATACCTATCATTGTGAACAAACTTTACACTTGTAGATATTAAAGCTCTAATTCCATTTACAATGTAAACAATAATGACGTACTTTTAACATGTAACTGTTTTCATTTGTATGTTTATATACCGGGACATTTTTTTAACTTTGAACATATGAAAATAAGTTTAATTTAAAAAAACACATGAATGCATCGTAAGTAAGAAATTCCAAAGCAGTTATAATGAAGTTAATGTATAGCATAAGATATTTAACTTCATTTGTTCATTTAAAACATCCTTTGGTCGTTTTTTTTAGTAGTTTACATTTGACGCATCGAGTATCATTTACATTTTTGTAAAATATTTTACGACAATACTGCAAACAAGTTGACAATTGATTTTTTTTATGAAGGTTGGATGTAATGAATATATGATTTTTCCAGAATCGTCTTTTGAAATATACAAAAATTTGCAAATTAGCACCAATTTTCGACCAATTTTCAACAAAATTTTCGAAATTTCACTAAATACATTTTCTTGTAGATTTCGGGCCCCAGAAATGATATCCGCTTGCATTTCTTCGATAACTCAAATGGTTCTTCCAGAATCGTCCTTTGAAATATACAAAAATAAGCAAAATACGACCAATTTTCAAAGAAATTTTCGACATTTCACTAAATACATTCTCTTGTAGATTTCGGGGTCCAGAAGTCATATCCGCTTGCATTTCTTCGATAACTCTAATGGTTTTCCCAGAATCGTCCTTAGAAATAAACAAAAATTTTCAAAGAAATTTTCGAAATTTCACTGAATACATTTTCTTGTATATTTCAGGCCTCAGAAGTCATATCCGCTTTCATTTCGTCGATAACTCCAATTGTGTTTCCAGAATCGTCCTTTGAAATATATAAAAATATGCAAAATACCACCAATTTTCAACAAAATTTTCGAACTTTCACTAAATACATTTTCTTGTAGATTTCGAGCTGCTTTCATTTCTTCGATAACTCCAAAGGTTTTTGCAGAATCGTCCTTTGAAATATACAAAAATATGCAAAATATAACCAATTTTCAACAAAATTTTCGAAATTTCACTAAATACATTTTCTTGTAGATTTCGGGCTGGTTTCATTTCTTCGATAACTCCAAAGGTTTTTGCAGAATCGTCCTTTAAAATATACAAAAATATGCAAAATACAACCAATTTTCAACAAAATTTTCGAAATTTTACTAAATACATTTTCTTGTAGATTTCGGGCCGCAGAAGTCATATCCGCTTTCATTTCTTCGATAGCTCAAATGGTTCTTTGAAATATGCAAAAACATGCAAAATACGACCAATTTTCAACCAATTTTCAACGACATTTTCGAAATTTCGCTAAATACATTTTCTTGTAGATTTCGGGCCGCAGAAGTCATATCCGCTTTCATTTCTTTGATAACTCTAAAGGTTTTTCCAGAATCGTCCTTTGAAATATACAAAAATATGCAAAATATAACCAATTTTCAACAAAATTTTCGAAATTTCACTAAATACATTTTCTTGTAGATTTCGGGCCGCAGAAGTCAAATCCGCTTTCATTTCTTCGACAACTACAATGGTTTTTCCAGAATCGTCCTTTGAAATATACAAAAATTTTCAAAATACCACCAATATGCGACCAATTTTCAACGCAATTTTCGAAATTTCACTAATAAATACATTTTCTTGTAGATTTCGGCCGCAGAAGACATATCCCCTTTCATTTCTTCGATAACTCTAATGGTTCTGCTAGAATCCTACTTTGAAATATGTAAAAATATGCAAAATACGACCAATTTTCAACCAATTTTCAACGAAATTTTCGAAATTCCACTTAAGTATATTTACTTGTAGATTTCGAGCCGCAGAAGTCATATCCGTTTGCACTTCTTCGATAACTCCAACGGTTGAATTATACAAAAATATGCAAAATGCGACCAATTTGGAAACTATTGTTTTAATAGCGAGATTTAACATACAAAATGAGCATTTTATTAGTAGAAATTGGAAAAAATATCTTACTTGATCCATATGAAGTTTTCGGAAGTTATAAAGTTGGAAGAAGGATAAACAATTTGGTTACGCATTTTAGGAACTGTACTACTGATGAAAACTTGAAAGTTACAAATTCTGGTTAAATCACCCTACAAAGAAGCATAGCACTTTTAATGTGGTGAGCTGATTCTAAGATAGCATCTAATTAAAATTTGTAGCTTCACAAAATGTAGTAGTAACATTTCTATCTACGGTACTAGGTATTTTAGTACTATTGTCTAAAAATATGAATTTTCGAGTATCACATAAAAGTCATGCCATTGTAATGGATTTAAATATATATGTATAAATATAACAAAAAAGACGAGTACAGCCCTATAACACAAATCTAAGCTTACTTTTATCCGTAAGTACACTTTTTGAAAATTTATTTTTGATCTTTTGAACAAATGAATACATTTGAAAGAAATTTTAGATAAAATTTAGGCCTTTTCATATTTTAGAACAATTACCTGCCAAAAAAAATCGCTTGTGAACAAAGTAAACGCGTTTTCTTTAAATTAAGTGTTCGACGTAAGTACCACTTGCTTCCTGTATAATACGTTACCAATTTCGATATCCTCAAAATTTTTTTAATTTTTTTCTTTTTTTTTTATTTTTATTTACTCAAGCAAAAGTTTTCTCTTACCATCTAATAGCATCCACCTATCTTTCTAATTCAAGTAGAAATGTTTGCCTTTAAAATTAACTGTATTTCACCGGACTTGTTAATATTTACCATTTGCATTACTACTCGAATATATAAGAAAATAACAATGGTATTCGCTGTAATCTATAACTTTTTTCCACTTTTGTAAATCTATGAACACCTCAATGTCAAGATCGGTAGCGCATCTGCAAATATTAACAAATCACCTCAAAAAAATCATTGGCAAACTTAGAGAAAACTGTCCTTACTCATTTACTATACACATTGTTATGTAATTGAAGCATTTTGCTCGACCAAGATCCACAGTGATACCGTTTTCATCATTCTTATTGTGATAAGCGCCGTCATTCCAGTCTGTAGATTCTTCAAACAACATTGTAGCATTTAACCCAGAAACTACTTTAAAATTTATATTTTGCTGTGGCAAGATTTTTATCTTTTACTGAAGAATTATACAAGTCTACTTTTCTGACTAGTAGTTGCACGAACAAAGTTTCTGTTACAGTTGAAACTTGATTACTGATTAGATTTAGACCTTGTTTGTTGTTTCTCTCTTGAAATACGTACACTTATCTATTTATAGATTTGTACCTTACTGCTAAAGGAATGGTATTTTGATCGCCTAGAACAAGTGCGGTTTATTCGTTACCTGTTTTAAAATGAGACTTATTAGTTCGCTACACCTTCGAAACTTAATTCATATTCACTGTTTTATTTATTGTTTGTTAAAATTTATAATTTGTTGTAGGAACAATAAGAGTAGTTGAAGACCAATTACCATTTCTGTGGCATATTAAAATGCCTTCAAAATTTTTACCAAATATTTAAATTGAAATGTCACCACCATTCTTATTATATTCAAAAATAATTTCAAAATCGGTTCAAACCATCCCATTTCCTTCATTTGATATACCAAATTTTAGGCACAAACACATGTTTTTAAGGTACCTCAAAAACACTTCTTCGTCACTAGTTGCGGCCTACTAGAACAATTAACATCTGGTGGATTTTTTTTTTAATTTAGAAAAAAAGTAGATGTAAAAGTTAAAAATATACCACTATAAAAGCATACATATATTCAGTTTTAACTTGGATAATATTTGACACCATTTATTTAACAATTTTTTGTATCGAGACGAAATTTTGTTACAATATGTGTAGAAGTATTACTTCGATTATTCAATTTTTGTTTCGAAAGGATTGCAAAAATGGACTCCTTCATTCCCTTAGTATTTTATACCCTAATAGGGATGAATAGTTTATAAAAAAATATATTAGTATAGTAATAACATGTACTAGAACGGTTTACAAATTTAAGTGGTGTTGCAATGAAAATAAGTAAGTACTTAACTCACAATTTTAGACTTCAAAAAAGTTTCTTGCTTAAGATATTCTAGCTCTTCCAAAAACTGTCTGAGATGGTTCTTGGTCTGTTGAGTAGACTGCAATAAGAACTGTTAGCAAAACTATCTATTGTTTCGTTAACACTGAGAAATTTATCTTCGTTAATTGAATGTGCAAATGTTTCCCACTGCGAATCATTTCTATCATTGATATGTAAATGTTAATTCGTAGCTAAACTTTTACTTGTGAAATTTGTGACCTAACATGAAAGTGCTTTTATTTTTTCTTTTACGAATAATAACAGACTTACTTAAATGGATTTTCAGAATGAGGGACCTAGGAGATTCGTTCCTAAAGGTGTTAGTGAATAAAAAACAGTGCGTTTTAATTGTTTTAAAACGTTTCTTTTTGTTTTAATTATTTATTATTTAAATTAACTTTTTCAGATTTTTTTGTGACTGGTGTTAGTTTTTGTTAAAAGAACAGAAATTTTTGCAATTTTTGAATAGTATAAAAATTAATCACATAAATTAATTTTTCATAAATTTCTTTAATAAATAGTGTCACTATTAATGGCGCCACCACAAATTTTAAAATTTGTGAGATTTTTAAGGAAACTTTGACTCTATTAAATAACAAAATATATGCTTATTTCATTAAAACTGTTAAATGTTTATAACAAAAAAGAACGGTTTTTTAGCATTTCTACTCTTTCCTATGTTGATAAATAAAAACAATTTCAAAACCGTTTTTGTCTACAATAATGAGATAAATTTAACTTATCTTATTCAAATGGATGAGATAAATTTGACTATTGTACTAATTTTTAAAAACAAGTAAAACTATTTTTCAATTATTTAAATCAATTCTAAATAAATAAAGTTGTAAATCAAATTCTGTATGTTTACGTGGACAAACGTATTATTATCGTATCACAGAACTCGACTCATAAAGGTTTTTTATTTGCTCTTATAGTATGTTTATAAGTATTTTGTATCTTAAAATGGTGTTATATTTATCAAACTGATAAAAGGATTGTGCAACTTAATTCGTTAGTCCACATAGGTTTACCAAAAATTAATTGAAGTGAAAACGAAAATAATGAATAAAAATTTGCGAATACACAACGAAAACCTAGAAAGAATAAATATGAAAATAAATTAAAAAAAGACGAAGACGAAATTTTGTTAGAAAGGAATATTACGTCCATTATTCCATTTTAGATTCGAAAAAACGGCTGAAAATTTATGATTTCAGAAATTAAATCGGTATGGGTAAAAATCAACAATTTGTTTTTCGGTAATACGCAACTACACAACTAAACTGAGTTTTTGACGGTGGTCCCTATTTAACAACCACGTGTTCCTTCTGGATAGTTCGTGATCCCTGCTTCGATGTTGTTCTGGAGCACCGAGACTTGCGGAAAACTGCTTCTAGGCTTTTCTTGATGAGTCACCGGTCATCGCGGTAACGTACCTACTGGAAATCCCATAGGCGCCTTATCGGGGGCGATAATGGGTTACTTTGTAACATTATTCTATAATAAGGATGTAAAGTTTATAAAAAAGATGTTAAGATGGTAACAACATTTACTAAAATGGTTTACAAATGTGAGTGGTCTTACAATAAAAATCAGTGAATATTTAATTCACAATTTTTGACTTGAAATTTTCTTAGTTAGGAACATTCGATATCTTCCAAAAATTGTCGGCAGTGGTCCTTTGTCTGTTGAGTAGACAGTAATAAGAACTGTTAGCAAAATGATGTAGTTTACCTTATTAGGAGAAAGTTGACCAGTAATTTTAATCCAATTGACTGTTCTTTCGTTAAAAGTGAGAAGTTTGTCTTCGTTAATTGAACGTGCAACTATTTCCCATTTCGAACGACTTTTTTCGTAAGTTTCTATCACAGATATGTAACTGTAAAATCGTAGCTTAACCTTTATTTGTGAAATCATGTATGGCTGATCTAAAACGAAAGTCTTTTCATTTTTTTCTTTTACGAATAATAACGGACTCACTTAAACGGACTTCCAAAATGAAGGAACTAGGTGAACTGTCCCTATGTTGATAATCAAAAAAAGAATTGAAAACTGTTTTTGTCTTTAATATTGGGATAAATTTGACTTATCCCATTCAAATGAGTGAAATTTTGTTAAGATTCATTTCTCTTCACGTACAATATAAAATATGATGAGAGTGGAGATTATCTTCTAAACTTGTTATTTTTATTGACTGGCTACCTATGTCTCGGCACTTTAATTAATTAGTCCACCATCAAACCTACAAGAAAATATTTTTATTGGTACAATAGTTTCGTTATTATGCTTTAGGTCTCAGCAAGTTGTGTGCTGCATGGGTGTAGGTGTGTTTAAGACGTTGAGTTTTTAGGTTAAATAGTTTGTGTAGTTTGTGTGGGTGACAGTTGTGGGTGCCAGAGTAGGAAATCAAAATCATTCTATCTTCTTAAGTTCTTTAATTAGTTAAAGTGCCGAAACATATGTAGCCAGTTATCAAAAATGAAAAGGTCAAAAGACACTCTCACTATCATCTGTCATCATATTTCAAGTACTCACAAGTAAAAATATTTTTCGTTTATTTAAATCAATTTAAAAAAACTTGAAGGTGTAGATCAAATTCTAGATGTTTTATGTGGGCTAACGCATTGTTATAGCACTCGTGTGACCATGGAATTCGGCTCATATATATTTTATATAATTGTGAACAAACTTCACATTTGTGAATAGTAATGCTCTAATTCCACTTAATGTACACAATCATGGCATAGTTTCAACATGTAACTGTTTTTATTTGCTCTAACTTTATATTCATATATCGAGATATTTTTTTTAACTTTGAACATATGAAAGTAAGTACAGGCTTAATTTCTATGTTCGGTTTTAAAAAACACACATGAATGGATTGTAAGGACGAAATTCCAAAGTAGTTATAATGACATTAATGTAGACATTCGAATTTCTTATGTATAGAATAACTTCTTTTCTTCATTTAAAACTTCATTTGTTCAATTTTTTTACTGGTGTTTATATTCGACGCATCGAGTATTGTTTACATTTTTGTAAAATATTTTACGACAATAATTCAATCAAGTTGACATTTAATTTTTTTCATGAAGGAGGTTGAATGTTATAAATATAGGGATTAAGCTCATACTTACTTTAATATTTTCAGAGTTAAAAAAACGTTTTGCTATATTTTGCTTCTTAAAATTGTGTCATGTATGCATGTCAAATTGACAAAAGGAGTGGTAAAATTAAATTCGTTAGCCCACATGGTTTTACCAAAAATTGATTGAAGTGAAAAGGGGAAAGTGTAAATATATTATTGGATAAAATATCTTACCCTAAGAACATATAGTTTTCGGAAGTTATAACATTGGAAGAAGGATAAACAATTTGGTTACGCATTTTAGGAACTGTACTACTCATGAAAACTTGAAACTTAAAAATTTTGGCTAAATCACCCTACAAAGAAACATATAACACTTTTAATGTGGTGAACTGATTCTAGGATATTATTTAATTAAAATTTGTAGCTTGACAAGGTGTACTAGTTAATTTTTCTAATATTTCTATCTCTAGTAGGTATTTTACTACTATTGTCTCAAAATATGAATTTTCGAGTAACACATAAAATTCATGCCATTTTGACGCATTAAAATATATATTTAGAAATATAACGAAAAAGTCCAATATAGCCCCATAACACAAATCAATGCTTCACTTTTTGAAAACTTATTAATGATCTTTTGAACCAATGATTACATTTGAACGAAAGTTTGGACTAGATTTAGACGCTTTCGCATTTTAGAACGAGGTCAACGTATATTCGTTACCAAAAAAATGGCTTGTGAACACAACAAACGCGTTTTATTTAAATTAATTGTTCGACGTGAACGCCCCTTGCTTCCCGTATAATACGTTACGAATTTGGAGATCCTTAAAACTTTTTCAGTTTTTTGCTTTTTTTTTATTTTCATTTACTAAAGCAAAAGCTTCCTCTTACTATCTAATAGCATCGACGCATCTCTCTAATTAAAGTAAAAATGTTTGCATTTACAAGTAACTGTATTTCATCGTACTTAGTCTAGTAAAGTTGTTAATATTTACCAAGTTCGTTACTAGTCGAATGTATCTAGCCTTTTGTTGTTCAAAATACAAGTTTTGCCTAGAATGACAAATGTATGTGGTGTAATCTATAACTTTTTTCCATTTTTGTAAATCTATTGACACCTCAATGTAATAACCGCTAAGGGAACCGCAGACATTGACAAATCATCTCAAAAAAACCATTGACTAACTTAGAGAAAACCTACTTTACTATACACATCGTTATGTAATTGAAGCATTTTACTTGACCAATATCCACAGTGATACCGTTTTGATCATTCTTATTGTGATAAGCGCCGTCATTCCCGTCTTTAGATTCTTCAAACAACATAGTAGTATTTAATCCAGAAACTACTTTAACATTGTATTCTGCTGTAGCAAGATTTTTATCTTTTACTGAAAAATTATACAAGTCTACTTTTCTGACTTGGCAGTTAATCAGTCTTCGTACTTACACTGGCCACCAAAGCGTAGTGTTTTTTGTGTACCGTTATTTTCAATCGTTGTAAGAACATTCAGCAGTTTTGCGTCATCTACAATTTTGGATGGCCGAACAACATTTAAGATTTCGTTTCGCGTTAAACAAGGAAATCGAACGCACCCGATAACCAAGTTGTCTACGTCTTTGTTATTTTTGCACCAGTTTGCCGCTATATTAAAAACATCGATTTCTTGTTCGAGAAACGCATCTCTTTTCAACAGGTTAACCATAGATTTCTAAAACATGGTATTATATGCTTATGTGTAGTTAGCTTAGAGATGTTACTTGTGTGAGGACATTGAAAAAACCATATTCTAACGTTTGGGAAACATGTTCATCGATAAGAGCATGACACGTTTCTCTTAACTCGTCCATGTCATGTGCGTTAGCTATATTTAGAAAGAAACAAACGTTCGTCAAATCTACAATCGAAGCCATTTTTTCGTTTATAATTTGTACCAGTGTTTTTAACGAATATTCGTGTGCTAGCTTCAATATATCGGACACATATTTCTCATCTAGTGATGCGATGACAACGGTTCCTGCCACAAATTCAACACGATAATATATTCAAAATATTTAGTCAAAAGTTTGGCTAACTACCTGTATAAATGTAATACAGTATTGTTTCAAAAGCTTTGGAAGGCGCATTCATTAATTCAATCTGGGCCTGAAAACAGTTTATGAATTTTAATTTTTCCATAAACATTGTCTTACTTGTTTTGGATCTTGCATTAAAAGGGACTCAAAATATTTGCATCTCGCAGCGAGAACAATCTGAAAATTACGACTTTGTTCAGAGTTGATCTTTTTGGAAACGGATCAAAAACCTACTTTGTGCGCATGAATGTTCTTATCGGATAGGATTATCTGAATGTCCGAAAACGTTTCCTTCAAGTAATAAGGTGCCATATCTTCGTAAATTTTCGAAGTATCGGTAATGATTAGTTTTTGTTGCGGTTCTTCTTCGTTTGCCATTTTGGTTGATGAAAATCTAAAAATGTTAGCTAAAAAATGTTTTAGTAGTTGAACGAACAAAGTTTCTGTTACAGGTGAAACTTGATTACTGATTAGATATAGACGTTGTTGTTACTCCCTTGAAATACAACGCTTATCTATCTATATGTTTCTACCTTACTGATAAAGAAATGGTGTTTTTATCGCCTAGAGCAAGTGAAGTTTATTTGTCGACAATTTTAAAATGAGACTTATTAGTTCGCTACACCTCTGAACCTTAATCCATATTCACTGTTCTATTTATTATTTGTTAAAATTAATTTATTGTAGCAACAATAAGAGTAGTTGAAGTCGAATTACCATTTATTTGTCATATTTAAATGCGTTCAGAATTTTTATTAAATTTTGTAATTGAAATATCACCACCATTATTTCGATATTCACAAATAATTTCAAAATCGGTTCAAACCATCCCGTTGCCTTTATTTCATATACCAGATTTTAGACATAAACACATCTTTTAAAGATTCCTCAAAAACACTCTTACATGTTTTAACTTGAACAATATTTGATGCCATTTATTTTACAATTTTTTGTGTTGTCATCAGTTTTTTGTAAGTAATCGTATAAGTATTGTTACCTACTTTTCTGTAATCACACAATGTTAGTAGTGTCTTAGCAATAATTTTTAACAGATTCTGTTTATTTGTTAAATTGTAACATATATTTTTTTTGTAATAATCTCTGTGTTTTAGAATAAAAGTAACAGCACTATGGGTAGCATCTTTTCCCAAAACTGAAATCAAATTATTAAGGCAAATCCAGTTTCTTAGGCAATAATTATAAATTTTAAGATGGCCCGCGAATGTCAAAAGAAAACCAGGGCTAAAGTTATTAAGATAGAACCTTGTTTGCCGTGAATCATTGCCTTTGTGAGGGCAACATTGTAATTTCAAAATTTTGGTAATATTTTTGATCAGGTATTTTTAGAAACCATTATCTCGATTAGTTATAAAAATTTCAGAACACGGTTATCTCCAGTCTCTTCGGCTAATAAAAGTTTTTACCTAATAAGTGGAAACATCGTCGATTTTTTGTCGGAAACGAGATACAGTAAAAGAAGCAAAATTGAACACGTTATGCTTAAAATTATCTAATAATAATAATAGGTCTATCAATAATGGAGGTATTACATTCTGTGAATGTATTGAAACCACCATAAGAGCCAAATGGTGTATTTGGCCAACCAAGCTCAGGTTTAAAAAATTGACTTTCAAATGTAATACAGTGTAGTTCTAACAACTGAATAATTGAGTGTTTAGTCCACGATCCTCTTGAAATTTTAATAATATGTCTAGAATGGTAAGAACCATTGTCCAGTATTATTAATGACAATTCTTCAAGTCTTGCAAAGATACATGTCCTGATCCATTCTTCGAAGTCCTTCGCATTCATGCTATAATGATAATTTGATGATTGGATTAAGATTAAAATATTTGTCCAGCGTCTTTCACATATTCCATTTCGTCCACCTGTATTTAGGTGTCAAAACGAATCTTTGCCAATAGGTACCAGTTTGTTGTGGTTGTTGAAAACAGTTCGTAATATCATTTTGTCGGATTGTATTTCATCACCTTTGCTAAAAATTCACGTTTCGTCTAAGAAAATCGTCATTCGTCAATAGTTGTTTCGTAAATTCATTTTCTAATGGAAATGTCTACATAGGACAACATTAAAATCTAGAGAGAATAAATATGAACATAACCTAAGAAAAATCGGAGGCGAAATTTTGTTACAATATAGAAGTACTACTTCGATTATTCAATTTTTGCTTCGAAAGGACAGCAAAAGTTGACTCCTTCATTCGATATGACAGTCGCTTAATGATTGTTTTATTCCATAATTAGGATGTATATTTTTTAACAAAAAAAATCTGTTAGGATAATAACAACTTGTACTAGCAAGCTTTACAAATTTGAGTGGTGTTGCAATGAAAATAAGTAAGTACTTAACGCACAATTTTAGAGTTCAAAAAAATTCCTTACTCAAGATATTCTAGATCTTCCAAAAACTGTCTGACGTGGTTCTTGGTCTGTTGAGTAGAATGTAATAAGAACTGTTAGCAAAACTAACTGTTGTTTGTCTTTGTTAATTGAATGTGCAAATGTTTCCCACTGCGAATCATTTCTATCATTGATACGTAAACGTTAAATCGTAGCTAAACCTTTACTTGTGAAATTTGTGACATAACATGAAAATGGTTTCATTCTTTTTTTCGAATAACAACAAACTTATTTAAATGGACTTTCAGAATGAAGGACCTAGGAGATTCGTTCCTAAAGATGTTAGTGAATAAAAGACAGTGTGTTTTAATTGTTTTAAAACGTTTCTTTTTATTTTAAAACAGGAAACGTATTTTTTTTTTGTTTTAATTATTATTATTTAAATTACCTGTTTCAGATTTTTTTGTGACTGGTGTTAGTTTTTGTTAGAAAGAACAGAAATTTTTGCAATTTTAGAATCGTATACAAATTCTTCTTGAATAAATAGTATAGCTATTAATGGCGCCACCGCAAATTTTAAAATTTGTGAGATTTTTAAGGAAACTTTGACTGTATTAAATACCAAAATATATGCTTATTTCATTAAAACTGTTAAATGTTTATAACAAAAAAGAACGGTTTTTTAACATCTCTACTCTTTCCTATGTTGATAAAAAAAAATATGTTAAAACCCTTCTTGTCTAAAATAATATGATAAATTTAACTTATCCCATTCAATTGAATGATATAAATTAGACTATTATAATAATTTTTAAACACAAGTAAAACTATTTTTCATTTATATAAATTAATTTTAAATAAATAAAGTTGTAGATCAAATTCTGTATGTTTACGTGGACAAACGTATTATTATCGCAATCACAGAAATCGACTCATAAACGTGTCGGATTATATCAAACTGATAAAAAAATTGGTGAAACTTAATTCGTTAGTCCACATGGGTTTACCAAAAATTAATTGAAGTGAAAAAGAAAATAATGAATGAAAATTTGCGAAAATAGAATGAAAATCTCGAAAGAATTAACATGAAAATAAATTAAAAAAAAGACGAGGACGAAATTTTGTTAGAAAGGAATATTAAGTCCATTATTCCATTTTAGCTTTGAAAAGACGGCTAAAAATTTATGATTTCAGAAATTAAATCGGAATGGGTAAAAATCAACAACTTATTTTTTGGTAATATGCAACTACATAACTAAACTGGAATGAACTGGGTTTGACTAGATTGGTGTGCCTCTTTAAAGAACCACGCGTTCCTTCGGATAGTTCGTGATCCCTGTTCGATGTTGTTCTGGAGCATCGAGACTTCCGGAGAACTGCTTTTAGGCTTTTCTTGATGAGTCACCGGTCATCGCGGCAACGTACCTACTAGAAAACCCATAGGCGTCTTACCGGGAGGGACAATGGGTTACTTTGTAACATTATTCTATAATAAGAATGTAAAGTTTATAAAAAAGATGTTAAGATGGTAGCAACATTTACTAAAATGGTTTACAAATGTGAGTGGTCTTACAATAAAAATCAGTGAATTTTAATTCACAATTTTTGACTTGAAATTTTCTTAGTTAGGAACATTCGATGTCTTCCAAAAATTGTTGGATGTCGTCCTTTGTCTGTTGAGTAGAGTGTCGTAAGAACTGTTAGCAAAATTATGTAGTTTACCTTATTAGGAGACAGTTGACCAGTAATTTTAATCAAATTGAGTATTCTTTCGTTAAAAGTGAGAAGTTTGTCTTCGTTAATTGACCGTGCAACTATTTCCCACTTCAGAGAATAATTTCCCAAGGTTTCTATCACAGATATGTAACTGTAAAATCGTAGCTTAACCTTTATTTGTGAAATCATGTATGGCTGATCTAAAACGAAAGTCTTTTCATTTTTTTCTTTTACGAATAATAACGGACTCACTTAAACGGATGTTCAAAATGAAGGAACTACGTGAATTGTTCCTGTGTTGATAAATAAAAAAAGAATTGTAAACTGTTTTTGTCTATAATATTGGGATAAATTTGACTTATCCCATTCAAATGAGTGAAATTTTGTTAAGATTCATTTCTCTTCACGTATAATATAAAATATGATGAGAGTCGAGATTATCTTCTGAACTTTTTATTGTTATTGACTGGCTACATATGTCGCGGCACTTTAATTAATTAGTACCATCATTATACCTACAAGAAAATATTTTTGTTGGTACAATAGTTTCGTTATTATGATTTAGGTCTCAGCAAGTTGTGTGCTGCGGGTGTAGGCGTGTTTAAGACGTTGAGTTTTTAGATTACATATATGTAGTTTGTGTAGTTATGTGGGTGACAGTTGTGGGTGCCAGAGTAGAAAATCAAAATCATTCTATCTTCTTAAGTTCTTTAATTAGTTAAAGTGCCGAAACATATGTAGCCTTATCAAAAATAAAAAGTTCAAAACACAGTCTCAGTCATCTGTCATCGTATTTCAAATACTCACAAATAAAAATATTTTTCGTTTATTTAAATCAATTTAAAAAAAACTTGAAGATGTAGATCAAATTCTAGATGTTTTGTGTGGGCTAACGCATTGTTATAGCACTCGTGTGACCTTGGAATTCAGCTCATATATATTTTATATCATTGTGAACAAACTTCACTTGTGTATAGTAATGCTCTAAATCTATTTATAATGTAAACAATAATGGCGGATTTTTAAGATGCAACTGTTTTTATTTGCTCTAACTGTATGTTTATATTCCGGGATATTTTTTTTAACTTTGAACATATGAAAGTAAGCACAGGCTTAATTTCTATGTTCGGTTTTAAAAAATACACGTGAATGCATTATAAGTACGAAATTCCAAAGTTGTTATAATGATGTTAATGTAGACATTTAAATTTTTTATGTCTAGCATAAGATATTTAATTTCTTTTCTTCATTTAGAACATCATTTGTTCAATTTTTTTAGTTTTGTTGCTATTCGACGCATCAAGTATTATTTACATTTTTGTAAAATATTTTTTGGCCTCCTGACATGTAAACGTCAAATTAACATTCAAATGACATCTTCGGAAACATCAAATTTACAGTCATCCTGGATGTTTACCACCCGGCGTGCGTAAAAATTGCCCAAATTGTCCGCTCTTCCTAGACGTTTATAAATAAAAGTCTCTTCACACAACGAAAATGTACTGATTAAAACGCCAAATACATAAGTTATTTATTGTTGAACGGCAATGTATCATATAATTTCGAATATTTTTTAGTTCAAACGGAGCTACGCCATCTTGTGTATTTTTGTGCACCAGTTACAGATCACTGT